AGGAGAGCTATATGGGAGGGTTTGGAATGAAAAAGAAGAGGGAAATTATATAATTATAATCTCAAAATAATAAAAGAAATAATGTGGAAAAATGCCAGCACAAGGTTAGCACACTGCAATTTTTCTGTACAAGTATATAACTTAGAGTCAGAGTCTTGGGATATTCCCAGTCTGAGAGTATTTGAAGTACAACCAATTTAACATACTAGAATATATTAAATTCAGTTCTCCAGAGAGAAAGTAGACAGCTTAACTTCATGGAAATGTTCCGGGTTAATTAAGGAACTACAGGGATTCCTGTTCTTATCACCCTCATTTGTAAAGGAAGGAAGAAAATGTCTACCAATTATGAAAGAAACCAAGTGAAGGGGATTTTATTTTGAAAGCAATGAATTTCAGTGATATCTCTGTCCCTTAATAAGGATCCTAAGCAAAATTTAGGTGACAGCCATAATTCATGCTAGCAGTGACTAGCTGACCTTTATTTGTCTAAGCTCAAGAGCATCATACCTTCAAAGCAGTAGTTCTGAAGAGAAATATTGCATGTGATACTTTGAATAAAAATGCCCCACATAGGCCCATAGAGAGTGGCACTATTAGCAGGCATGGCCTTGATGGAGGAAAAGAGTCACTGGAGGGACGCTTTGAGGACACTCAAACCAGGCCCACTATCACTCTCTTTTCCTGCATCCTAGCAGTCTGGACATAGAACTGTCTGCTACTTCTCCAGCACCATATCTGCCTGTGTGTACCATGCTTCTCAACATGATGGTCATGGTGTCTCTTCACAGCAATAGAAACCCTCACTATGCCTGTTCTCTTTTAACATAGAGAAGAGAGAGATCTCTTAGCACTTGCAATAAAGACATACACACATGCATCCTCTGGCAATAAAGGCAGCAGATGCATTCTCTTAGCACAAAAGGTTGAACATCTTGTCTTTCATTTCCAATACCTCAGACTTGCTCGTGGCACGGGTGCCACATCTCCTCTCTCCTCACCATACTCTCTCATATACCCTTCCTTGCTCTATTTTAATTTTGTGGCCAATTTTCATTAACTGTTGATATAACCTGCTCAATCTGTATAGTAGTGTTACATGTTCAGGGCTGACCTTTTGGTACTGGATAGACAACTGGTGTTCTCCTCCCTAGGTAAACCAACAGCACTCTAGTTACTTTATTGTAAATTAACATAAAGTTACTTTACTTTATAATACAATTTGAATAGGTTGCATAGTAGAGCAACTTAGGATTCCAAGTATTCTACCTAAGTACTACCATTAATTTAGATAAATTATGAAGATTAGGATTGGCACAAAAATAGACAGGCAGACCAATGGAATCGAATTGAAAATCCGGGTATTAACCCACACACGTACGAACATCTGATCTTTGACAAAGAAGCTAAAAATATACAATGGAATAAAGAAAGCATCTTCAACAAATGGTGCTGGCATAATTGGAGACTGGCATGTAGAAAAATGTGGATCGATCCATGTTTATCGCCATGCACAAAACTTAAGTCCAAATGGATCAAAGACCTCAACATAAATCCAGCCACACTGAACCTCTTAGAAGAGAAAGTGGGTGGTACCCTTGAAAGAATTGGTACAGGAGACAGCTTCCTGAACATAACACCAGTAGCACAGACAGTGAGATCAACAATTAATAAATGGGACCTACTGAAACTGAGAAGCTTCTGTAAGGCAAAGGACACAGTCAGCAAGACAAAAAGGCAGCCCACAGAATGGGAAAAAATATTCACTAATCCCACATCTGACAGAGGGTTGATCTCCAAAATTTACAAAGAACTCAAGAAGCAAGTCTCCAAAACAGCAAAGGACCCAATTAAGAAGTGGGCTGCAGAACTAAATAGAGAGTTTTCAATAGAGGAGTCTAAAATGGCTGAGAGGCACTTGAGAAAGTGCTCAACATCCTTAGCCATCCGGGAAATGCAAATCAAAACAACTCTGAGATACCATCTCACTCCTGTCAGAATGGCTAAAATCAAAAACACCAATGACAATTTATGCTGGAGAGGATGTGGTGAAAGGGGGACACTCCTCCATTGCTGGTGGGAGTGCCAACTGGTTCAGCCACTTTGGAAATCAGTATGGAGATTCCTCAGAAAAATGGGAATAAACCTACCACAAGACCCAGCAACTGCACTCTTAGGCATATATCCAAAAGATGCCCATTCATATAACAAAGATGTCTGTTCCACTATGTTCATAGCAGCTTTATTTGTAATAGCCAGAACTTGGAAGCAACCTAGATGTCCCTCACCCGAAGAATGGATAGAGAAAATGTGGTACATCTACACAATGGAGTACTATTCAACAGAAAAAAATAATGGAATCATGAGATTCGCAGGCAAATGGATGACACTAGAAGAAACCATCCTGAGTGAGGTAACCCAGTCACAAAAAGAGAAACATGGCATGTACTCTCTCATATATGGATTTTAGACATAGATCTGGGGAGTGCCAGCCTACAATCCTATTGCCAGAGAGTCTGGGAAACAGAAACTTCATTTACTGGCTGGTTAAGTACTGAGCTGAACTCAAGAAAGCCAGTATCAGAGAGGGAGGACTGATGATCAAAGGGATTAAGACTGGGCTGGTTGAACCCCCAGAAACAGCTGACCAGACAAAGGTTAACTCTTGAATCCCAGGGATCAGCCTGGGAATCCAGCATGGGACTGATCAAGACCCCCTGAATCTGGGTGTCAGTGAGGAGGCCTAGGAAATCTATTGAGCCTTGGATAGCAGATCAGTACCCATCCCAAGTATACACACGGTCTCTGGACTCCCATAGAACAATGTGAGGTGCACTCTCACCCTGAACTCTTGGGTAAGGGTCTAGGCCCTGCCCTATATGAAATGACAGACTATGGACACCCCCATGGAGGGCCTCACCCTCCCTGGGGGAATGAGGGGATAACGGGGGGGATGGGGGGGAGGGCACGGGAGGAGGGGAGGGAAAGGGAGAGGGACCTCGTACTGACTTGTGAAGCAACCTTGTTTCTTATCTAAATTTAAAATGGAAAATAAAAAAAATATTAATAAAAAAATCAGCTTATAGAAATTGTCTCATTCAATAATTTCATCCATGATTTTATATCTACTTGCAAATTGAGTTTTTAACACTAATTATACTTTTACATTAATTATACAAAAGGAATTACATAAACTCTTTTTAAGATGTATAAAATTTGAGCATATTGTCCCATAGAGTAAGTTTAATACTTGAATTCCCTGTTCTTGACAAACTGACACTCCATAAATTCTAATTTTGTACAACAAGATAGATACACAGCACTCAGAATGTTAAAGCAGTATGTTTTCTGTGAATTTAAGGTCAGCCTCTGAAGAGTGAAACCCTTTCTAAACACACACACACACACACACAATTTCATGTGATCTAAAGGGATAACACCAATTGGCAAGCTAAGCAATAGTGGAGAGACCACCTCGAATGCCCATTCCTGATAATGAACTTGATGTCTATAACCATCCGGGAGCCTTCATCCTGTGACTGATGGAAGCAGAGGCAAACACACAATTAATCACTGAACTGAACCCAAGGAACCCAGTGACAGAGAGAGAGGAGTGATGAGCAAATTGGCAAAGAATGGGATGGCAAAACCAGCAGAGACAGCTGATCTGAATAGGGGGAGAGCTCTTGGACCCCAGAGCGACAGTGGGGAGGCCAGCATGGGACTGATCTGGACCCCAAATGTGAGTGTCAGCGAGAAGGCCTGGGCAACCTATGGGGCCCTGAGCTGTGGATCAGTGTCTATCCCTGGTATACAAACAGTCTTCGTGTGCCTATAGCACAAAGAGGGATGCTCTCTCAGCCTGGACTCTTAGGGGGAGTGCCTGGACCCTACCCAGAGTAAAATGACAGACTCTAGATATCCCCTATGTGGAAGGATTTGGCAATAGGGTGGGGGAGGGGAAGGGGAGTGCGGGAGGAGGGGAGGGAGAGGGAACTGGGATTGACATGTAAAACAAGCTATTTAAAATTAAAATAAAAAATGATAAAAAACAAAACAAAAAAAACAAAAAACAAAAAAACAAAAAAAATATGCGAAGGCAATGGTGGCACAAAGCCTGTGGGAATAACCAACCAATATCTGATTTGACTTAAGGCCCATTCCATGAGATAGAACCCTGGCTCGAAAAACAAAAACACCAACAAAAATACAAATGAACACCCTGGGGAGTGTGATAAGTTTTGTAGAGATAAGAGCAGCCTATGGTTAGTTAGGTAACAATGTAAATTACTACATTGTAAATTACTATTATAACATAAAGAAAGACACAGAGAGACGGAAGGGCAATGGTAGCCTGTCCTTTTCTGCAGGCTTTAATTTCTTATAGCATGAATTAGTGAGGGATTGATATTATATTATTATTATTGAATTTTAACTCTTGGAATGCAGAACATAAACTATGGGACAACCTTGTGTATATTCTTTATACATTTTAGAGAAATAACTATATTTTAAAGAATGAAAATTTATGTATCTAAAAATTTTGGACTAGGCTAACCTCAAACCCACTATATAGCCAAGCATGACACCTTGAACTCCTAATTTTCATGACCCCAGCTCTCAAATGTTGACAAGTTAATTGCACCATGCCTGGTATATGCCATACTGGGGATTAAAGCTAGGGCTGCTACAGAGCAGGCACATACTCTACCACCTGAGCTACTTCACCAGGTAGACATACACACTCACACACACACACACACACACACACATATTCATATACACATACAGATATACAAATATAATTCAAGACAGAAAATAAACATATTTCCATCAAATTATCTTGATGGGAATCTGAAAATATCAAAACAGATTGTATTTCCTTTAAATATTTTAGCTCCTCTCTGCTTGGATGGAGGGATATTCTTTTGTTAGTTTGAACACAATTCAAGTTTTTTATGAAGAAGCTGGTTGAAGACATGAGAGGGAAAACTACATACCTTTTCTTGATACTGCCTCCTTGAAGAATCCAAAGACTGAATCAAAGCTGTGGCATGGCCAACAAACATTGCGTAGCAGGTAGCTCCAACAATCATACTTAGCATGGTAATCCAGAGGTCAGACATGCTGACAGGCGCTTGGGCGCCATAGCCAATGCACAACATGTGACTCATAGCTTTGAAGAGGGCGTAGGAATATTGCTTTCCCCAAGAATCGTTCTGAAACATGAGAGAAAAGAAAATGAACTGAGCTGATAGGATGATAAAAGGAAAAACAAGTACAACTTAGCCACAGAAGTACTGGACATTTACAATATATAACTTCCTATTGTACACTAAGCAAATGACTCAATGGTGTTCAAATCTGGTCTATTAAGACACATTAGAAATAGCACCATTTTGAGTTCCGGCACTCCTAGTCAGTTTTAAGTTTCCTGTTTTCTAAAAGTAAAATTCCACTTGGGAAAATTGTTTAAGTGTCAAAATAGCGTTGTTAAGAATAAGTGATGAGTCTCGTTTAACATTTCAAGGCAATCCCATTTCTCTAGTAATTGTGTTTGCAAGCTGAGAAATGCAGCAGGTGGGGCCAAGTGCATGCATCCCAATATAGGAACTTTTGTCAACACTATATAGTTCAGGTTTTATAAACACAGCTTGATATACATGTGCTCTTTAGCATTTCTGTCATTTATAAATGAAAAGCCAAACATGTTTTGGAAATACAGTCATAACTTGGATGGCATTCTAAAAAATAAAACCCAAAGCTGGGTTGTGTTAATTAAGACTTGTAAATATCTGATGTCATTTCAAAATTTTATTTCGGTCTCATCAGTTTTACAGAAAAGAAAGCTTGTTAATTATGTTTTCCCTTGCACAAAACTTAAGCACCTGGTTTGCATGTCTTATTGTTCTGAGACTGGTCTTGCTATATATAACATAGTGTTCAGTACAAAAGTGAACCACAAAGACCATCTTAAATTCAAGTGCATTTCAAAGTTGTCCACCTCCTTAATTCAGGACTTAATTATTTATGGGGACAACTACAAAATCAAAATGGTAGATCATTAATTCAAAAGAAACATGCTAAAAATAATAAAATATGAAGACTTTTCTTTTACACTAATTTATTACTAATAAAATGAGGTAATAATAACAGATGAATAACTTAAAGCCTTGTAAACTACAAAAATGATATTTGATGTTACAGTGATATAAAAACAATGAAGAATTATATGTTAACCTTGATTGACTAGTTTTCAGTTCTCTTTTGCAAATTATTTATTAGGTTAGCATAATTTATACAATTTCTAGCTTCAATCTCAAGGATAACAGTTACAGTGACATCAGTTACTCTTGACTAATGCAAGATCACAAACTCATTTTGGCAATTTTTTTATTTTGTAAAAAAAGATTTTTTTCTTAATAACAACTGTTCCTGGAGCTATTAAAAATGTTTTCTAGGCTGTGAGAACACTAGGATGGATTTTTAATATATCACTTTACAATGTAAATTTTGGTACATCTGTTGCTGATGATTCAAACAGAATGATTTTTTTATTAAATTTTAACACCGTAGAAATGAGACTCATGCTTGTCTGAGTTGGAATTTTTAATTGTATGATTGTATTTTGAGATGGTTATAGTTATATGGAGGTGCCAAGAAATGGGAGTCCAAGCATTCTTTTCTTGGTTTCCTCAGGAGTACTGTCTTCAAACCAAGCCTAACAAACATAAATACATGACCAAAAATGGACATAAATACAATAAACTGACCACATTTTCTGCTCACTTAGGTCCATGAATTTTATTACATATGTAGGTTCATGTATTTATCAGAACAGTCAACACATGGAACAATTCCACCACGTGATCACTTCTATCACTTTTACATGAAATTTAATGCTAATGTATGCAATGACATTTTATTGCTCCCTCTGGCATTTCCTGTAACTTACCAAGATTATGAAAGAAGCCAGAGGTAGCTACAGGAATTTGTTTTGCCATTCCAAATTTCTGTTTACGCATTCTATTATGTTATGTTCACAGGAAAAGTTTAACTCAAATTGCAGTTCTTGTCACTAAGTTGTTTATCTAAAGTTTCATCAGAAAAGGGAGTGCTATTTTCTATAAAGTGTGATACTCTTACTTTGCTTTTCTAACTTTGTGGATATTTGTTTGATGCTGGTCCAGAAAATTTCAAAACTGGACATGAAAACTTCTAGTTGTGATGGTTGAAGTTTACATTTTAAAAATCCTTTACTTTTATAATGGTTTACTTGAGTGTAGCCAGCATGGCCATAGGATATAAATGAGAGATCTAATATTTGTACAGATACTAGGGTTTATGGGTAAGTAGTCTTCTGGCCATAAGTGCTGTCCTACAGGCACCTTTAGCTTTTCTTGTGGCTGCTATTGCTGCCCCTGTGTATGTGGCAACTGTTTCTACTAATAACATGGACCCATTTATGGCTTAGCCATACTGGAGACTCCAAAGCTGCCCCATTGTTGATTCATGTCTATTTATATGCATCTTGTTGCCCCACCAATTGAGTCACCTGCATAGCATCCCATACCTGCTGTGTGTGTGTGTGTGTGTGTGTGTGTGCATGCACGCACGCGCACTGCTCTATAGACTAACTCCATAGTATATGTTTCTAGTAGATTTTATTTAAAAATACAAAAATTCTAACTGAAAATTTTAAGATGACAGCAATATACAACATTAGCAAAGTTCAAGTTCTTTTGAGAGTGAGATTACAGGCAATTTCAATATCCCATGGCCAGAAAATTATCCTTGTACAAATTAACCTTCAGTATAAGAATTTCAAAAAGCTATTTAAAAATATAATGAACAAATATATAGTGTGTACTTTTTATTACTTTTACCAATTATACATTGTTGTTTTTTAAATTTGTTTTATTTTTAAATTTAAATTAGAAACAAGGTTGCTTCACATGTCAATCCTAGGTCCCTCTCTCCTTCCCCTCCCCTTCTCCCACGCCCTCCCACCAAATCCCACAATACTCCCTCATTTCTCAGGGAGGGTAAGGCTCTCCATGGGGTGTCCATAGTCTGTCATTTTATCCGGGGCGGGGCCTAGACCCTCCCCCAAGAGTTCAGGGTGAGAGTGCATCTCTCATTGTGGTATGGGCACCCAAAGTCCATTTGTATTCCAGGTATAAATACTGATCTACTGCCCAAGGCCCAATAGATTGCCTAGGCCTCATCACTGACGACCACATTCAAGGGGTCTTGATTAGTCCCATGCTGGATTCCCAGCCATCACTCTGGGATTCAATAGGTAACCCTTGTCAGGTCAGCTGTTTCTGGGGGTTAAACCAGCCCATTCTTAACCCCCATCAGTCCTCCCTCTCTGTCACTGGGTTCCTTGAGTTCAGCTCAGTGTTTAGCTGTAGAAGTCTGCCTCTGCTTCCATCAGCCATTGAATGAAGTTTTTGTATCCCAGATTCTCTGGCAGTAGGACTGTAGGCTGGCACTCCCCAGATCTATGTCGGAAATCTATATATGAGAGAGTAATATCATGTTTCTCTTTGTGTGATTTGGTTACCTCATTCAGGATGGTTTCTTCTAGTGCCATCCATTTACCTGTGAATTTCAAGATTCCATTTTTTTTCTGCTGAATAGTACTCCATTGTATAAATGTACCACATTTTCTCTATCCACTCTTCAGTTGAGGGACATCTAGGTTGCTTCCAAGTTCTGGCTATTACAAATAATACTGCTATGAACATAGTGGAACAGATGTCTTTGTTGTGTGAGTGTGCATCTTTTGGGTATATGCCTAAGAGTGGAATTGCTGGGTCTTGTGGTAGACTTATTCCCATTTTTCTGAGGAATCTCTATACTGATTTCCAAAGTGCAAGTTGGCATTCCCACCAACAGTGGAGGAGTGTTCCCCTTTCTCCACAACCTCTCCATCATAAACTGTCATTGGTGTTTTTGATTTTAGCCATTCTGACAAGAGTAAGATGGTATTTCAGAGTTGTTTTGATTTGCATTTCTACATAGAGAATTCTTAATAGAGGAGTCTAAAACAGCTGAGAGGCATTGAGAAAGTGTTCAACATCCATAGCCATCAGGGAAATGCAAATCCATTTTGTAAAAAATGGAATGGGATGAATTTCAAAAAACCAACACCCACCCACACGTTAGTGGTGCACATCTTTAATCCCAGCACTCGGGAGGCAGAGGCATGAGAACCTCTGTGAGTTCGAGGCCAACGTGGGCAACAGAGCAAGTTCCAGGACAACCTCCACAACCTCCAAAGCAATACAGAGAAACCCTGTCTTGGAAAACCAAAAAAAGAAAAAAAAGAAAAAAACCTACACCCAGATACATTGGAACACAATGTACTTGCTGACAAACAAAACAAGCAGCCACATTTAGTAGAAAGAGTTAGGGTTGTTTATGACAGTTGTTATTTACTGATGGAGTAAAGTCAAGCCATGACATTAAGTTATCCAACTAAGCGATTACAAATGTAGATGTTTACACATGCAAGGGTAAATAATAGCTGATTTAAAGACAAGATGTCTATCTATATATTTGTTTGGTTATCCCATGCCTATAGTATAAATTTTTACTTTGTAGAAAGATTTCTTATATATCCTCATACAAGGGAATTAGTACATTATGTCAACAGTATGTCAAAGTTTTCAAATGGTACATATTTCACAAACAAAAACATTTAGATATTCCAAGAACAAGACGCACATATTTGAAGAACAAGACAATATATTCTATGAAAGTCTTGAACATGGCCTTTCTTTTAAAATAAATTATAGCCATGAAATTCCAGTTATATCAATAAATCAAAAATGAATTCGTTATAAACCATACTACGAAACAAATACTTAATATTCTTTTGTTTTGAAGGCCTTAAACCCAGCTTGAATCATCAACCTGTAGCACGGCAAGTGCTGCACCCTGGGTATCGGTCAGCACATGTGCCTGAATCTGCTCATACATCAAGGCAGGAGCCATGCCTTGGGACTCTTCTAATAGTGCACTTTTAGAAACTCTAAGATTCAACATGGGCATTAATGAATGAGACTGAGAATCACTAAATTCTATAGATGAATAGTAAATGCCATGCAGTGTCCTATTCTGCCACACCGAGTCAGTACTTGGTTATGACATCTGGGCATAGTTAGATGGAAGGGGAAAAATGAAAATATCCAAGGAAGTTCTCAGTCAA